AAAAGATTTAATTCATTGTGATTTACATAGTGGTAATATATTAATGCAAGGAGGTGCTTGTTTTATCACAGATTTTGGATTATGTGGACCAGTTGATGAAAAATCATCAAATAAACTTTATGGAATTATATCTTATATTGCACCAGAACTATTTAGAGGAAAAAATCACACAAAAGAAACTGATGTTTATAGTGTTGGGATGTTAATGTGGGAAATATTTTCAGGGCATCCACCATTTGATGATGAAGCACATGATTTTTGTTTGCAATTAAGAATATGTGGAGGTTTACATCCACCAATATTACCAGGAATGCCTGATGATTATGTACAAATGATGCAAAGGTGTTGGGATGTGGATCCAATCAAGAGACCAACCATTGGGGAGCTTTGGGAATTTGCTCGTAATAAATCAAAGGAAATTTATGAAGCAAAAATTTTTAATGAAATTAGCAGTGGTTGTGGTGGTAATAGCAGTAATTCACAACAAATTCACAAATCACATCCATTAGCATGACATACAAGTCGAATATTAAATGATGTAAATGATGAATTTGCTAAATTGAATTTAAAAAATTTAAAAAGTAATGATAGTTTATTAAGTGACCTTGATATTAATGAAATATAATTTTAATAAGGAAATTAAATAGTTAATTAATTAATTGAAATCTACTAATTTAAATATGATTATTTTATTAATTAATTATAATGATGATAATAATAAGTAGTTGATAAGGTCAAAATTGGAAAATTGGGTGAATTTGTTGATGGTAGATAATTAATTATTTCTAATTATTTTCATTGCCTTCATTATTAATAATTTATTTGTTTATTTTATTATTATTTCTAAAAAGTTTGATTAATTTCTTCAAATTCAGAATCACACATTTTTATACATAATTGAATAATTAATATAATCCATAATTTTCTTAATGTCAAAAGTTGAAATTATCTCAAGGTCAATTGTTAAATGCAAAATGAACAATCTCAAATTTCAGTCAGTAGAGATTTCATATAACTTTCAATTCTGTGCACTATTTTTTTTTTCTGTACATTTTTTATTTTATTTTTTAATTTTGTACAAAATTTGTGAATTCTGGAAAGTTTGTTGGTGGGGGCCAGTCTGTACGATCTTTGATTCCATATTTTTGTTCAAGATATTCTGATAAATATTGTGAAAAGTGTATTAGTCTACACTTACAGAGCCTTTTCAGCATTTGGACTAGAGTTGCCTTTCTAAACTCTAACCTCTTTTCTAAACTAGTTTAGAAACCCTAAACTACTTTCGAAACTAACCCGAAACTCCAGATATTTTCTGTGAATCAATCCGATTTTCTTTTTGTGCAACTTTCGTAATAGTAAATCATCTTCGATTTAATCCATAAAATTACAACCATTATTATCAAAATCATTTTCTCTTCAAGTGAATGTTTTTATCAAAAGTTTATTTTATTTGATATTATTGCTCTGACAATTAATTAATTAATTAATCAAATCATTGGTTTAGTTTAAATCAACAAAAATATAATAATTTATTTATTTGTTCTAATATAATTTTTCTCTTTCTTAA